TCAGAAACATAACCATAAACACTAAACCTTGGGCCACATTTCTATTAGTAAAGAGAAATTAAACAATGTTGTGAAAATCACTTTTTATTTTCGTAATGAGAAATTTTTTAGAGTGCTAAGTGGCATACTACAAGTAGTTGTAATCATTTTTCAAATATCTAACTACTTGTATTATGACACTTTTATATATCGAGCCGTTCTCCGGCGCACTAAAAAATCGGTGATGCTGGTGGGGAAGAAATCCACTCCGAATCTCTCTCACAAAATCCTAGTGAGCGATTAGGCCCTTGAAATTTGATCCAAAGCCACAAACAAGATGCCCCTAAGTTAACTAATTGTAACAATTTGATCAAATTTTAAAGATCCGGATCCACGGATCCTAGGGACTTGGCAGGAGAGATCCGGATGGAATCTCTTCCCAGGCTGGTGAGAGTAAAAAAGCAGAGTGTAGACGTGTCGACGAGCCATTTGCCCAAATTCGCCGTCTTTTATTTCCGTAACCGGCGGAGGAAAAAGTTGGGTCGTCGTTTTCCGAAGGCGGCAAGGGAAGCACAACATTCAAGAAAGCACCCCTCATTCTTCTTCCGTGCCCAAAAAACCCTAATACTCCCAACATATTTACGAAAAAACCACGACTGTGAAAGCTTCTTGTCCGCCGGTCAGGAAGGCCATTTTCGGATTCGCAACAAAAAAGTAACCGCTATTTCTTATTTTTTCGATCATTTCTTCCTCCCCAAAAGAACAAACTTTGAAATAAATCACAAGAAGAAGAAAATTACAGTCGCAGTCAGATTCTTCAATTTCCATTCCTGATTAGAAGGTAAGATTTTAACTCATTAAATAATTTAAATCTTTATATTTTTCTGTGAATTATTTCTTTTCTTTTTGTTTTGGTCTAAATTTCTGAATAATCTGTATGTTTGTTGCTCAAGTAATTGAACTTTTTGATCGCCGTTGTGAATTTATTGCTGTTGAAATTCAGTGGAAAAGAAAGAAATCCAAGTTTTGAATTTTCCGGTTTCGATGTTTTTTTGTTTACCAGAAATATTGGAAGCTTCCTGAAAGTTATGGACTTGACTTGGATTTGGACTTAGTTGACTCAAAGATTCAAACTTTAGTTCATTTTCCTGCATTTTCTCGGAAACCAAACGGAGGGTTATTTTGGTTTTTCTGTTTTCTGTTCATAAACTTTGGTTTAGTTAGCAGATCGTTGAACGTTGTCGGGAGGAAATTTAATTAAGAAAGATATTAAGGTCTGAATTTGATGGGGAGGGGAGTTCTCTGATTGGAAATTTGCAAAACCCTAATAATAATTTGGGATTTTTCCTTTTTTTGGATGTTGATAGCAAAACCCTAATTGCTGGTTTTTGGTTTTTTTCTTTTGGGGGCGGGGGAGGGGGTGGTGGGGGTCTTTCCTAAATGAAACCTTGACTTCCTTATCGTTGTGATGATTAATCGGGAACTGATAAGGAACTTGTCTTTTGAGCAGTTGTACAGAGTTTGGATGAATAACCAGTCTACCGGGCGCAACCAGAGACCCGCCAAAGGGTTGAAGGTGAAACAGGCAATTCAGATTGCATTGATTTTGGCAGTTTGCTTCTGGTTGCTATACCAGATGAAGCAGTCACATGGCAAGGACTATAGTGAAAGTTCAAAGGACAAGGCCAGCGAAGAACGCGGTTCTGATATTTTAGGGCGTAGGGGAGTGCAGGGTGGTCAAAAGGTGGAGCTGTGTCTGCATCAGAAGATCCGAAACATGTAGGAGAAGTAAGTGTAAAGAAAGAAGATGGGAATGTTGAAGAGAAAAATGAAGAAGAATCTTTGCAGAATGTAAACGAAGCGAATCAGGTTGAAAAGGAAACAGAAATTCAGAACAAAGAATTGAACAATAAAGATGATAATTCTGAAGGTGCAGTTAAAGGAAATGATGAATCGGTGGGGCTCGACAAGAGTTCTTCGCATGAAGAAAATTACCAAGAGGGCCTAGGTACGCAGGCAGTTTTCGCTGATCAAGATGGTGCGAAACATGTGAATCATGATGAAGTAGGAGAGGACAAGGAGCAAATACCACAAGATAAGCACGACGAGCAAGAAAATGGAAAGGGACAAGCTAAGGAGCCAAAGAGATTGGAGGAATCTCGTACCACTGACAAGGAGCCAAAGAGTACAACATACAAGGACATTTCAGTAGTACAACGCAGTGAAAAGTAAGAATGACTCTCTTGAGGGCCAAAATTCAGTGGTAGACGGAGTGGTCCATGGCTTTGATGATGTGAATGGCGTGCCAGTAGATGGCCATGATCTCATAGAATCCATAGTGACTGGAACCGGCGGTGATCAAGCAATTACCGGACATCAGGAAATGAATTCGAGTTCTAACAATCAAAGTGAAATCAGCAAAAAAACGCATTAAATGAAGAAGTTGGGTCTAAAGAAGGAACAACTGGTGCTGATTTGGAAGCCAAAAGCAAAATCTCAGTACAAGGCTCGAACATTGACATTAAATCGAAGGTGGAAACAAGTTCAGACACCTCGAGGATCGATAGCGTTTAAGAGACTACACAGGGGGGCAGTTCCGTTTCAGATTCATAGCAGAAACAAAATGTCATTAACATTACAAGTATCTGCACAAGCAGAAGAAACGAGAGGTAGAAAGTGAGTTGAATTAGTAGCATTTCTTCTTGAGTGACATTGTACAGTCTAATTTCGAGTTTTCTTACAAGTCGTTGGACATTTTCTTGGCCCTAGATCCGATAACAGGTGATAGTTTGATGTCGAATAGTCATACATACGTACTAAAAATGTTTACTTTCTCGGTGCTATTTCAGAGATAAAAAGTTTCGGTTTCGGTTAATATTACCATTCAAGCTGGTCCTTTACTTCTGCAATTACTATTCTTCTGATTCAGCGATCTCATCATCAAGATGAAGCCTACCATGAATCACTACTTACTAGGGATCACCAAGAGGATAAAAACTTGCCTATAACGAGATGCTAGTATGGCGGCATCCCAAGCCATTTACATATACGTGATAATGTATGATTGGCCTGAGATACAACCGCAGCTGCATCCCAATATTATTGCAGGGTTGTTAAATATGGATTGATAGTGACGTTTTTATATATTTTTCAGGTGCATTTGTTGCACCGGACTATCTCTCGGACTGGATTAACTTGAGGGATTAAGCTGAATTGGCTTAGAATAGACTAACTTAGTGAAGCGTTTGATGCACTCGGACTAAAAAGCCGAATAAATAATATTATATTATTTAATTAATAAATATAAATATTTTATTATTATCCTATATTTTTCCTCCTCTTTTTCTTCCTTCACCGTCACTCTCTCCCTCTTTCTCTCCCTCTTTTTCTCCCTTCTCCGTCCCACCCTTCCTTGTTCTAGATTAGACATCTCAATTCTAGTCTCTATCTCTCTCTTTTTTTTGTCCAACTCCTTCTCGATTCCAATCTCTCTCTCCTCTCTCCCTCGCTCTGGCTCTGTGTTATTCGACAAAACCTCACATCTCCATTTTTTCCGACGAGTTGCAGGATTTCCATCGTGTTTTCCGGCCAAACGTCGTCGAATTGGATGAGGTTAGCACCACCAACAAACTGCTCTCCATCCCTGGACACATATCAAAGCTTTGCTTGCTCGAACCTGTCATAGATTCGAAGAAACCCAAACATGCCGAGACTTCCGGGCCAATTTCCGACCACCTTCGACCACCTTTTAGCCTTGATTCAGGTAGAAATGGAATCCCCTCACTCACAGCTTCAGTTTGGTATATTTTTTTAAGTGTAAATTGGTTGTGAAACGTATTTGAGAGAGATAGTCGAATCGGAAAGTTAACGGCAGTGTGTGGTCGGAGGTCACAAGGAGTGGCCATGAGTAGTCGTCAAGTAGGACAAAGATGAGAGAGATGATGGTCTTAGCTAGTCCCATGGTTCTCGGGGGTACTCGCTAGGACCGGATAGTCCTGCCTTTAGTCGAGGCAAGTGAGAGCTAGTCTCACTAAAGCTAATCCTTGCTGGGAACAAACATGGGACTTGACTAACCCTTAATTTTGTCTAGTCCAGTGAACTTTAACGAGGGCAAACAATGCCCCCTTCTAGTTTCTTCTATACCGCGCGGAAAGGAGGAGATCTTCAAATTCTATCACATAAATTTGAGGAAATCTAACTCAATATCTCTGACGCGTGGTGCTGATCAAAGTTGTTAGGCATTGAGTAGTCCTTATCTTTCTCCAAATTTCTGGTACACGAGTGCTTTGTCTCGTTGGACAAATTCTCTTTTTTTTTTCTTTTCTTTTTTTTCCTGATGGCATCATCTGTCCAATAAACGCTTGTCACGTGATGAATTGGTGATAAGAGAGTATCTCTCGTCTTATTGAACTCTGCTTTATCTCACCAAAATCTTATGACCATAAGTTCATATTCTAGAAATTATATGCACATAGAGAGCGGTGATATTTTTTTTTTTTGGGAAACCATAGAGAGCGGTGATTGGCACTTCAAGAAAATTATTCTACAATTGTTCACACGTAATTCTTCGAAGTGTTTTTATTAGAAGGAACGGGTGCATTGTGAAGTGCAGATAACAGCTCCCATACAGATGAAGCCTCTATATAAAGCCTCTTGAGAGACATTCTACAAAGCATCCATTTGTTATTAGCTTTCTTGTCCTGCAAACCAAATGGTGAGAAACAATTGAAATGGGAAGGCAAGGCAAGTGCAGAGCTAAAAAGGCCCCAAAGCAGAGCAAATTTGGCCTCTTTTGGAGACTTCTTTGGCTTGCACAAGTGGTTCCCAACTCTCACAACTTGCCTTGGTGTTGAAGGCACACAGGGGGTAGCTGGGTGCTTGCGGTTCTGTGCTGGAGTCAAGACTCCGGTTGATCATAAAAGTGACCAGAACCAAGACCAAGAGAAGGTGAACTGGACTAAGCAGAAGCTGCTGAGTATAGACCCAGCAAAAATGACATATAGTTACTCTATCATAGATGGGAATATTGGGTTTAACTCGTACATTTCGACCGTTCAAGTGGTGCTGAAGGACGCCGGGTGTATGATTGTGTGGAAGTATGAAGTTGAACCAGTGGAGGGATTGAGGCTGGAGGATCTGGACCTGCTCATTGGCACTGGTTTGCAAGTCATGGCTAGCAGAATGGAAGCCTCTCTTGAACTCCAAGTTGAATAATTGGAAACACAAAAGTGATTTGGTAGAGAGAATGGCAAGTGATTTGTATAACCCTGCAATAAAACCGGCAACAAAATCCAGTAAGGTTGATAAGTTGTCGGACTTGTAGCTCTAGTCGTTAAGAGTAGTTACCCCTGTTTCAAGGTGGATTTGGATTTACCTAATTTTTTGGAGGGATGATCTATGAATAATGAACTAAAAAATATAAACAGTTTTGATCATTGAAAAAAATGAGAGTAAACACCACAAGGTGTCCCTGAAATAAACAAAAGAACCCTAGTTTTGAATTTGGGTAAATTCGACGATTCAGACTCGTTGATGGGAAGATCACGTATGGATTTTTACAATTTTGGTGAAAGAGCAAGGCAGATTACAGTCATAAACATTAGGGTTAAAGATGATGATACAAGTAATTTTTCAACATCATGATACAACTATCCGTACAAGTACAGCAGCTATTACTTGTTAGTACTTGTGCCACCTCTTGTTCTCTACCAGTACGTGAATGACCTACAAAACTGAGGTCAGGTTCTCCAGTATGCAGACTGGATGCGGGTGCCCGAATGAGCAGGCAAGCCTCACGAACTAGGCCATTCATACGCCTTCGAAAGCACAAGCAGACCGCTACTCACTTGCATGATGTTCTCTTTAACTGACTTCCGACATGATGGATCTACTCATCGTCTAGTTCATCAGGTACATGTAACTTCTCAATGTCAGCCTGTTGAAAAATCAAGAGACAAGCCTCGGAGTAAGATGCAAATGAGAGCTACGATTGTGTTGGATCAAAGCGCATATGGAAAGTTATCAATAATGGATGTTAATAAAGACTAAGAAATATGCTCAAATCTCACCTTAATGGTAGCGACATCAGTTGTGGATGGTTTCAAATCCAATGCATAACCGAAATGAAGCATTTCTTTCTCATGCATGTTACGCCGCTTATAGATCTTACCCATCAAAGCGTACACACTACTTTCACGAGGGGAATATTCTTCTTATCCGCCCTAATAGCCTTCTCCGTCCCACCCTTCCTTCTTCCAGATTAGACATCTCAATTCCAGTCTCTATCTCTCTCTTTTTTCTGTCCTACTCCCTCTCGATTCCAATCTTTCTCTCCTCTTTCCCTTGCTCTAGCTATAAGAAATAACTCTGATATTTCATTTCTTAATGAATAAGAAATTACAATGGGTTTATATACAGCAGAGAAAAATAGCTTAGTAACTAATTACATCTAGTTAACTCACTAATCTAGTAATTAGTTACAAGGACAGTTGTAACACACTTGTAACAAAAATTAAACCAACTATTTATATGCCTCTTTACACCCCCTCAAGCTAAACGGAGGAGAACCGAGTCAAAGCTTGGATTGAAGATATTGAAACCGAGCTTTGGAAAGAGATTTAGTGTGGATATCAGCAACTTGATGCTGAGTATTGAGATATTGTACTCGGAGCAGTTTGGCAAGAACGAGTTCACGAATGTAATGGTAATCAATTTCCACATGCTTTGTGCGAGCATGAAAAACTGGATTTGAGGCTGTTTGTACCATACTTAGGGCCTCCGTACTTAGATCTCGTATAAATACTCGGGGGACTCAAAGGTAATTATGTATAAATGAAGGGGCAAATATGTAATAAGTGAGGAGCCCTTATTCTATAAAAGGACTCCTCACTCTCCTCATTAGGGGAGGCCAATTCTTAGGCCATGGAAGGGCTCTCTCACCCTCATAAGCTCTCTCCATCTCTCTCCCTCACAAACAGAGAAATACAAATATCAGTGTGGACGTAGCCCAAACATTGGGGTGAACCACGATACATCTTGTGTTATTTACATTTCTTGCAGATTCACGGTCGGATTTACGTTGCTCTGAGACCTCCGACTTTGTGCATCAACATTTGGTGCCGTCTATGGGAATCGACACGAAAAGCTATGTTGGTTATCTTTCATTTTCCATCTCACCACCGTGAGAACTTCACAACCTCCACCATGAATCTGCAAAACCAAGAAACCAAAAACCCCTCTTTCTGTGGCCAAATTCTCCAAGCAGCCCAGACATAAACCAACACATTCATGGCCCAACCCTAACTCTGACCCTCGGCGGTAGACCCGACCCTCAGTACCCGACCAATAAAGTCATGATCTGGGACGACCACCAGGCCCGATCCACCGTTGTCCTGTTCGTGCGGCTCCGGAGGGACCGAATCGTCGTCATTTTAGAACAGCAGAAAACCCACACTGAAGTCACCATCCGCAACTCTGCTTCTCTCTGATTGCTCCAATTTCAACCCGTCCCAACGACTTCAAAATCTCTCAGTCAGACATCCACTCCATCACCAATGACAATCTCATCATCAATGTATTCAACAGCTTGGATGAGCTTTTCCTCCTCTCTTGAAACTGATGCTGACCGCCCCGCCACCGTCGTCGTCGAAGCCCGCCGTGTGTCCAGCTAGGCCTGGCTACGGGAAGGTCGGCGAGAAGGTCCAAGTCAGGGCTAACCACTTCCCAAAGACGAGTGATCTTTTTCCTGTCATTCTCTCATCAATCTCTCATGGCGAGATGCTCGAGAGCCTGCCTTCATCCCTATCCTCCTCATCTCAGATCCGAGATCGATGCGTCATTCAACCTTCTTTCAGCTCTCGAATCACAGATTCCATCAAGTTTATCCACCTCCGAGTTCTGCATGTCACATCTCCGTGCATGTTTGTATTCTGTGGTAAGAGCCTTGAACAGAGAAAAATGTGGAACATGAGAGTGCTAAAGTGAGATTGTCTCAGAGGTATAAGGAAAGTTATTATTTGCAGCTTTTTTTTGCCAAGATGTTGTTCTCAAGCTACTTTGGGTGCTGAAACATTGTTCTTGCACGAGATTACTACTCAACTTGAGGTTACTGATGCTGAGACGGTGTCGTGTCGGCTATGGGTCAGTGGCTGCTTGTCTTACAATGACAAGATATCAAGATATCAGATGATTTCTACAACATTTCAGGGATGAATCCATATCTCGCGAGAGTGAGGTAGAGACGAACTCCAGAGAGAGTGAGAGAGAGGATGAAACTACCACGGATTTTGAGGTCCGATGGCTGCCGTCGATGTTTGATCGTATCCGATCTCCGCCGTCCGTCGGTCTCTGATTCCCTCTCGTTTCAGCGGCGATGGATCTCCGGTAAGGCTCCGCCGTCCGATTCTCAATCTTTCGATCTCCTGGAAGCGATCAAGAGGGGCCATGGCCAGCCCTAGTACCTCGACAAATTGCAGGGAAGCTAGTGTAGATCAAAGATGCTCTGTATGCTGCAGATAACCTGCTAGATGAGATCAATGACCCATCCCCTGCATCTTCATTTTCTGAGAAAGCAAAAGTGGAATAAAGGAAAAGAGAAAAGAAGAAAAGCAAAAGCAAAGCAGAAAAAACCGAGAAAAAGCAGAAAGCAAAAGGGAGGCACATGGGGACACTGCAAAAGCAAGGAATAAACACTCCACCAGAAAGATGTGATTTACTTTTCTTATTTTTGAATGATGTTTATTTTTCTTATCTTTAGGAGACATTTGTATAACCCCATCAGAGGGTAAAAAAAAAAAAAAAAACGTCAAGCCCAAAATAATGGGCTGGAATGTTAGGTGGAGGGTGAATGCCCATATGCCCAAAAGAGCCAAGCCCTCTATTATCACCAACCAGGTGATCAAAAGTACGTCCAGTACTCCAAACTTATTTGGCAACCTGCCGCTCTTATCACCAACCAGGTGATCAAAAGTACGCCCAGTACTCCAAAATTATTCAGCAGCCTGCCGTTATTATCACCAACCAAGTGATCAAAAGTACGTCCAATACTCCAAAATTATACATAAGCATCACTCATGTCAATCATACATAAACATTCATGAGCATCACTCATGTCAATCATACATAAACATTCATTAGCATCACTCATGTCAATCATACATAAACATTTATGACCATCATTCATGTCAACATTCATGAGCATCACTCATGTTAACATTCATGAGCATCACTCATGTTAACATTCATGAGCATCACTTATGTCAACATCCATGAGCATCACTCATGTCAATCAACATAAATATTCATGAGCATCACTCATGTCAATCAGCTTCGAAAGCTTCATTTACAGAGCTCCAGCTTCAAAAGCTTCTTTTACAAAAGCTCCAGCTTCAAAAGCTTCTTTACAAAAGCTCCAGTTTCAAAGCTTCACTTTCAAAGCTTCACATATAAAGCTTCAGTGCATGGTCTACAAAGACCGCATCCGAACAACCGCCACTTTGGCCCATACATGGCTTGAATTTGAAAGTCTCCAGCCAACAACCTCTATTGACTGAAGACTTGGAGGACTACATTATGTACCATATATTGGGCCTCAACTGGGCCTCATGAAAAATACTTGGGGGACTTAGCCCATCACTTATGTATTGAGGAGCGAGCCCTTATTCTATAAAATGGACTCCCTCACTTTCATTAGAGAGCACCCATTATTTATGTATTGAGGAGCGAGCCCTTATTTTATAAAAGGGACTCCCTCACCATCATTAGATAGCATCGCCGCCTGTTGAGCAACCGCCTCGCCGCGAGCATCACTCGTAACCCATTATTCATGTACTAAGGAGCGAGCCCTTATTTTATAAAAGGGACTCCCTCACCTTCAACGCTACAAGCCAAGCCAACCAAGGCACCATAAGCCACAAGCAGAGCTGCCTCGCAACATGTGCTACTTCTAGTTGAGCATCATTTCAGATTGAGCACCGCCTCATATCAAGTATCAGTTCTAGACGACATCTAGTTACTTCGGCCCACATATGGACTGAATTTCAAGTCTCCAGCCAAAAGACTCTCTTGACTGAAGACTTGGGGGACTACTGTTTGTAACATACTTAGGGCCTCTGTATTTAGATCTAGTATAAATACTCGGAGGACTCAAATGTAATTATGTAATAAATGAATGAGCAAATATGTAATAAGTGAGGAGCCCTTATTCTATAAAATGACTCCTCACTCTCCTCATTAGGGGAGACCAATTCTTAGGCCATGGAAGGGCTCTGTCACCCTCAAAAGCTCTCTCCATCTCTCTCCCTCACAAACAGAAAAATACAAATATCAGTGTGGACGTAGCCCAAACATTGGGGTGAACCACGATACATCTTGTGTTATTTACATTTCTTGCAGATTCACGGTCGGATTTACGTTGCTCCAAGACCTCCGGTTTTGTGCATCAACACACTTACTTCTCCTACATGTTTCAGATCTTCTGATGCAGACACAACTCCACCTTTTAACCACCCTGCACTCCCCTTCGGCCCTAAAATATCAGAACCACGTTCTTCGCTGGCCTTGTCCTTTGAACTTTCACTATAGTCCTTGTCATGTGACTGCTTCATCTCGTATAGCAACCAGAAGCAAACAGCCAAAATCAATGCAATCTGAATTTCCTGTTTCACCTTCAACCCTTTGGCAGGTCTCTGGTTACGCCCGGTAGACTGGTTATTCATCCAAACTCTTTACAACTGCTCAAAAGACAAGCTCCTTATAAATTCTCGATTAATCATCACAACGATAAGTAAGTCAAGGTTTCATTTATGAAAGACCCCAAAAAAAAAAAATCAGACCTTAATATCTTTCTTAATTAAATTTCGTCCTGACAATGTTCAACGATCTACTAACTAAACCAAAGTTTATGAACAGAAAACAGAAAAACCAAAATAACCCTCTGTTTGGTTTCCGAGAAAATACAGGAAAATGGACTAAAGTTTTAATCTTTGAGTCAACCAAGTCCAAATCCAATTTAATTCCATAACTTTAAGGAAGCTTCCAATATTTCCAAATCAATTCACGTTCTTCTGTTATAATGACTTATCTTCCCTCAGCACTGCACGCTTTAAAGGTTACATTCGCATATCCATTCTAATGTTACAGCCTAGAAATCTTTTGATTTACGAAATGATTCTTATTTTATTATCCAATCGTCTGAAATGTGTTTGTATCATATGACAGAGAAGCGAAGAAGCTCTAGTGATGATGGAGAAGGCTATTAGGGCGGATAAGAAGAATCCACTTCCAATGTATCATAAGGCTAGTATACTAATGAGCTTAGAAAAGTTCGATGAAGCTTTAGCGGTCTTAGAGGAGGTTAAAGAATACTCTCCTCGTGAAAGTAGTGTCTACGCTTTGATGGGTAAGATCTATAAGCGGCGTAACATGCATGAGAAAGCAATGCTTCATTTCAGTTATGCATTGGATTTGAAACCATCCTCAACCGATGTCGCTACCATTAAGGTGAGATTTGAGCATATTTCTTAGTCTTTATTAACATCCAATATTGATAACTTAATTTCCATAAGTGCTTTGATCGCAACACAATCGTAGCTCTCATTTGCATCTTACTTCAAGGCTCGTCTCTTGATTTTTCAACATGCTGACATTGAGAAGTTAACTAGACGATTAGTAGATCCATCATGTCGGAAGTCAGTTAAAGAGAACATCGTGCAAGTTATCCGGCTGAATAGACTCTGCCCCGAGTAGTAGTCTGCTTTTACTTCGAAGGCGTATGAATGGCCTAGTTCGTGAGGCTTGCCTGCTCATTCGGGCATCCGCATCCAGTCTGCATACTGTAGAACCTGACCTCAGTTTTGTAGGTGATTCACATACTGGTAGAGAACAAGATGTGACACAAGTACTAATAGTTGCTGTACTTGTACGGATAGTTGTATCATGATGTTGAAAAATTACTTGTATCATCATCTTTAACCCTAATGTTTATGATTGCTCTGTCTTTCTCTTTCACCAAAATTCTAAAAATCCATACGTGATCTTCCCGTCAAAAAGTCTAAATTGTCGAATTTACCTAGATTCAAAATTAGGGTTCTTTTGTTTATTTCAGGGGCACCTTGTGGTGTTCACTCTGTAACTTTTTTCAACGATTAAAAACGTTTATATTTTAGTTCATCATTCATAAATCATCCCTTAAAGGTTGTACCCAGTGCACAAGGCTCCCGCTTTACGCAGGATCTGGGAAAGGTGAATGTCGGCTAGCCTTACCCCCATTCATAAATCATCCCTAAAAAAAAAAATCCTAATCCACCTTGAAACAAGGGTAACTACTTTTAACGATCGGAGCTACAAGTCCGACAACTTATCAACCTTACTGGATTTTGTTGCCGGTTTTATTGCAGGGTTATACAAATCACTTGCCATTCTCTCTACCAAATCACTTTTGTGTTTCCAATTATTCAACTTGGAGCTGGAGAGAGGCTTCCATTCTGCTTGCCATGACTTGCAAGCCAGTGCCAATAAACAGGTCCAGATCCTCCAGCCTTCATCCCTCCACTGGTTCAACTTCATACTTCCACACAATCGTACACTCGGCGTCCTTCGGCACCATTTGAACGGTCGAAAGGTACGAGTTAAACCCAACATTCCCATCTATGATAGAGTAACTATATGTCATTTCTGCTGGGTCTATACTCAGCAGCTTCTGCTTAGTCCGGTTCGCCTTCTCTTGGTCTTGGTTCTGGTCACTTTTAGGATCAACCGGAGTCTTGAACCCAGCATAGAACCACACGCACCCGGCTACCCCCGGTGTGCCTTCAACACCATGGCAAGTTCTGGTCACTTTTAGCTCTGCACTTGCCTTGCCTTCCCATTTCAATTGTTTCTCAAGTGCCATTTGGGTTGCAGGACAAGAAAGCTAATAACAAATGGATGCTTTGTAGAATGTTTCTTTCAATACGCTTTATATAAAGGCTTCATCTGTATGGGAGCTGTTATCTGCACTTCACGATGCACCCGTTCCTTCTAATAAAAACACTTAGAAGAATTACGTGTGAACAATTGTAGAATAACTTTCTTGAAGTGCGAAACACCGTTCTCTATGTGCATATAATTTCTAAAATATGAACATACGGTCATGAGATCTTGGTAAGATAAAGCAGAGTTCAATCAGACGAGAGATACTCTCTTATCACCAATTCACGAAAAAAATTTGATTGTGACCGGAATACGGAGGGTACATCACTTGTTTTTATATAAGTGGTGAACAATTTTATGTTCTAAGTTATGAACTTTTTAACACACATATCTTATCATTTATATAGTGACACGTGGTGTATCACCCGTGTACCAGTCACACTAAAAAATCTCTCCCAATTCACCGCTTGATAAGCGTTTATTGGATGGGTGATGCCATTAGGAAAAGAAAAAAAAACAACAAAAAAAAGGGAGAATTAGACAAAGCACTCATGTACCAGAAATTTGGAGAAAGATAAGGACTGCTCAATGCCTAACAACTTTGATCAGCACCACACGTCAGAGATATTGATCAGTTAGATTTCCTCAAATTTATGTGATAGAATTTGAAGATTCTCCCTCCTTTCCGAGGTATAGAAGAAATTAGAAGGGGGCATTTGTTTGTCCTCGTTAAAATTCACTGGACTAGACAAAATTAAGGGTTAGTCAAGTCCCATGTTTGTTCCCAGCAAGGATTAGCTTTAGTGAGACTAGCTCTCACTCGCCTCGACTAAGGGCAGGACTATCTGGTCTTAGCGAGTACCGCCGAGAACCATGGAACTAGCTAAGACCATCATTTCTCTCATCCTTGTCTTGCTCGACGACTACTTACGGCCACTCCTTGTGACCTCCGACCACACATTGCCGTTAACTTTTCGATTCGACCATCTCTTTCAAATACGTTTCACAACCAATTTTCACATAAAAATATACCAAACTGAAGTTGGGAGTGAGGGGATTCAGTTTCTACCGGAATCGAGGCCAAAAGATGATCGGAGGTGGCCGTAAATTGGCCCGGAAGTCTTGGCATGTTTGGGTTTCTTCGAATCCATGACAGATTCGAGCATGCAAAGCTTCGATCTGTGTCCAGGGATGGAGAACAGTTTGTTGGTGGTGCTAACCTCATCCAATTTGACGAGGTTTGGCCGGAAAACACGATGGGAAACCTGCAACTCGTCGGAAAAAATGGAGATGTGAGGTTTCGTCAAATAACACAGAGCTAGTAAAAAGGCATATAAATAGTTAGTTGTATTTTTGTTACAAGTGTGTTACAACTGTCCTTGTAACTAATTACTAGATTAGTGAGTTAACTAGATGTAATTAGTTACTAAGCTATTTTTCTCTGCTGTATATAAACCCATTGTAATTTCTTATTCATTAAGAAATGAAATATCAGAGTTATTTCTTATATGGTATCAATTGCCTCTCTGCTCAATCACCAATCCTAGCTTCTTCTGCAATCTTCGATTTCTCTGATCCTCTTTGATTTTCTCCCTGCAAATCTTGATCCCCAATGGTGTCTTCTACTTCTTCACTTGCAAATCCGGAAGTTTTCACTCAGAATCCCACCCATCTTTCATCAAATTTTGTTCCGATAAACCCTAACTCTTCGAATCTCTGTTCAATTTCTTCAATTTCAATTCAAAACATCAGTTGTATGGTTCCTACAAAGCTTAAGTGGGATAATTATCTGGTCTGAAAAGCTCTTTTCGCTCCAATTTTTCGACGATACAAACTTACATGCATTATCGATGGATCGGAGGTGTGTCCACCGCCTTTTATTCTTGATCAATATGGTGCAACTACTGCAGTTCCTAATCCTACTTTCGAGATCTGGTTTGAAAAGGATCAAAATATCCTTATCTGGCTGAATTCAACCTTCTCTGAATATCTCATTCCATTCACCGTCAGGGTTACTTCGTCTCGAGAATTATGGCAGATTCTTGAACAACGATTTGACGGTGTCTCAGTGGCGCACATTCATCAACTCTGATCACGTCTTCATGCCATTCAGAAAGGCGATATGTCAATCTCTGATTATCTATAGCGTATCAAAGGCATATTTGACGCTCTTACGGCTGCCGGAGCTCCGGTGTTAGATCAAGATCTTATTGATGTTATCTTAAATGGCCTCTCTGATGATTATGAATCCTTCGTAGATTCTATCATGCTTCGAATTTCATCTACTTCCTTAGATGAACTTCATGGCCTCTTTCTGAACAAAGAACTTTTCATGCATAGAAAGAAGAAAGCTTCTGCATCTTCCCTTACATAACCATTTCATGCATTTGCTGCTTAAGGTCCATCTCTCCAGCAAGGTCTTTTACCTACGCCTCATTCCTAACAGGCTAATGATGTCCACCAATCTAACTACATCAATCGCTCCAATTTCCAGCGCAATAACCGTGGCCGAGGCAATTTTCAGAAGAACAATAAAGGTCGTGGTAACTATCGTGGCAATTACAACAATTTTGGCACTGGTAATGATAATTTCCGTCACAACTCTGGTAACTACAATCGTAATTCTGGTGGCTATACTCATAATTCTGGAAATCGGTCTCCCTGTCAAATATGCAATTCTTTTGATCATGAGGCCCTTGATTGCTATGCTCGAATGAACCATGCTTTTGCTGGAAAGATTCCACCTGCCAAGCTTGTTGCTATGTGTGCCAATACTTCTTCTTCCTCTCAGCCTACATGGCTTCTGGACTCTGGCTCCACTGCTCATGTCACCAATGATATCTCAGCAATATCTTCTCCCATCCCTTACTCTGGTGAAAACAAGGTTTATGCTGGTGATGGTCAAGGTATGCCAATTCACCACACCGGTTCTTCTGTACTTAAAACACTTAAATAATGTTCTCCATGTGCCAATGATGCAATTCAATTTGCTCTCTGCGTATCAATTTCTAAGAGACAATTATTGCTCTTTAACTCTTGATTATGATGGTTTTGTCATCAATGACCGTTCCACTGGGAAGACGTTTTTTCGGGGCCCAGTTAGGGATGGTTTCTATCATCTGAAAGGACAACCATTCCAAGCTTCATTCTCTGCACTTGTTAGCACTCAGGTTTCATTACAACAATGGCACAAACGCCTTGGCCACCCTTCAACAACCATTCTCAGAAGGATATTGCATCCAAATAAGCTTGTTACTAATAATTCAGCTTCTGTTAAGTTTTTTTGTGCAAACTGTGCAATTGGTAAACATCACAAGCTGCCATTTTCTTCTAGTACCACCACTGTCTTAAATAACTTGGACTTGATTCATTGTGATGTCTGGGGTCCCTGTCCAGTTTCATCTGTTAGTGGCTATAAGTACTATGTACTCTTTGTAGATGAGTATAACAAATACAGTTGGATGTTTCCTTTAAAGGCAAAGTCTGAAGTCTTTTCTATCTTTGTAAATTTCAAAACATATGTTGAAAATTTACTTGGAAATAAAATCAAGATTTTTCGAACAGATTCAGGGGGTGAGTTCACAAGTTCTGCATTTATTTCTTTCTTGCTTCAGCATGGTATTTCTCATCAATTTAGCTGCCCACACACACCTGAACAAAATGGTTGTGTGGAACGCAAGCATTGACATCTTATTGAGACTGCAAGGACACTTCTTGTTGCTTCTAAAGTTCCACACAGATTTTGGGTAGATGCTTTTTCTACTGCACTGTATCTTATCAATTGACTACCTATCTCTGGATCCTCTCAGTCTCCATGGGAAATTCTTTTTAACATGCCTCATGATTATTCAAAGTTGAAGATATTTGGTTGATGCTGCTACCCTTGGCTTAAGCCATATATGCAATCAAAGTTGGATGGTAAAAGCACACCATGTGTTTTTCTGGGCTATAGTCTTCAACACAAAGGCTATAGGTGTTTAGATACACTGTCCAACAGGGTTTATATCTCACGGCATGTCCTTTTCAATGAAGACCATTTTCCATTTCATGATTTTCTTATCCTCACCAAACTTCTTCACACACATTGTACTTCCTCATCTACATCAACTGAGTTCTCATTGCCATTTCCTCAATCAAACATCTCTACCACCCAACCGTCTTCTGTGTCTCATTCATCTCCGGGTCCATATATATCTCAAGGTTCTTCCTCAACACCATTAGTCTCTCCACCTCAACATTCCCAACACACTCAAGCTTTTGCCTCATCTCAAGAGCATCATTCTTCTTTAATTTCAGTTCCCACAAACACTCATCCCATGATCACTCGGTCTAAAGCTGGAATTTTCAAGCCAAAAGTATTAACAGCTATAAAACATCCTATTGATTCTACTTCTTTTGTGCCTACTACTTATTTGCAAGCCTCCAAATATGATCACTGGAATAAAGCCATGATGGAAGAATTTCAAGCTCTCCAGTCCACCGGCACTTGGAATATTGTACCCTCATCTCCTCATCAAAATCTAGTCGGATGCAAATGGGTTTTCCGAATCAAAAGGAAACCTGATGGTTCTATTGATCGATACAAAGCCCGTCTTATTGCTAAGGGCTTCCATCAATAAGAAGGTGTTGATTTCAAAGAGACTTTCAGCCCGGTTGCCAAACCTATTACCATTCGCATTCTCCTTACACTTGTAGTCCAATATGATTGGTTTTTAAACCAACTTGACAGCAACAATGCCTTCCTCCATGGAAATCTCCAAGAAAAGGTTTTTATGCAACAACCACCCGGTTTTATTGATCCATCCAAACCTTCACATGTTTTCAAACTCAAACGCTCTCTCTACGGCTTAAAGCAAGCCCCTAGGGCATGGTATGACAAGCTCTTTCACACTCTGGTATCTCTTGGTTTTACAAACTCTCAATCTGATTGCTCTCTGTTTGTGAAACTTAAACCATTCCTTGTCCTAATCCTTATATATGTGGATGATATACTGGTAACTGGTCCCAATACCTCTCTATGTCAACACTTTATTCAGCATCTTGGTTCCTTATTT